CTGGGATGGACTCTCCCTGCCCCTGGCGAGTCACGCTGTGATTTGGGGTTGGCCTTTTGGTGTTGGCCAAGCCAGGAGTGTGTGCTGTCTGCAGGCTTGTGTCCCATGGGGGGGCAAATTCCCCCCCAGCAAGGGCAGCTCCATGAGAAAATCGGTGCTTGGCAGCACTTCCAAAGGTCAGGAGTGTCTCAGGACTGACTATGTGTATTGGAAAAGTGTCCTGTGCTTGTGTGTCATCCAGGTCAGGGTGCAAAGCCTTCAACTAAAGTGCACTGTGGGGTGAGGAGAGAGGGAGGCAGAAGGCACTGTCCTTAGATCCAAGGTAGTGTGGACGTACCCAACAGCACAGGGTTCTACTTGAGACTGGATTCCTGCCCATAATCATTGAATTATTAAATCAGAGACAAAATATGACTGGAAAAGACTCTTAAGATCATTGAGTCCAACCATTGCTCATGTTCCTGCAACAAAAATCCTTGAGTTTCTTGTACCACTACATAAAAGGAATCTCCATCACCCGGTGGAAATGTCAGAAATGAGGAAATTAAATGGAAACATTGACAGAAGCCAAAACACAGCCTGTGGCATTAGGTGGGATAGTTTGCTTTGGAGGTGAGTCTGTTGGAAAATTACTGCCCTGTGCAGTGGCTGTGGGCCCGGGGCAGTGCAGGAGCAGTATAAAAGCAGGCCCTTGTCCTTGCTCTCTCATCCACTCCTCTCAACTCCATCTCCTTGGCAGTAAGGTGTGTTTGGAGAGCTTTCTCCTCCTCTTGGTCCTTGTGCTGCATTTCAAAGCACATACATTATCTCTGGCTGGGTACTGGGACTTCTTACCGTGGGAGAGGGAAGGAGGCAGATGATGTGGCATAGGGAGAGACTGGGGCTTGTGTGAGGAGTCTCTTAAGCTACTGGTTAGGTGGGGATCTCCATGGACTTCATCACGACTTGAGGAATCTTTTGGGCTGAGCAAAAGAGGGTCAATCTAATGGCTGCTTCTCACCCATCTACCCTGCTCTGTTTCCCCTGCCCTCTGTCCCAGGTGCAGCTCCAGCCCCAGACATGTCCTGCTACACCCCGTGCCTGCCCTGCCAGCCCTGCGGCCCGACCCCGCTGGCCAACAGCTGCAATGAGCCCTGTGTCAGGCAGTGCCAGGACTCCAACGTCTCCATCCAGCCCTCCCCCGTGGTGGTGACCCTGCCCGGGCCCATCCTCAGCTCCTTCCCACAGAAC